CATTCTTAAATCCAAGGCCTTATGAAAACAGGGCTGGATTTGGTCTACAAACTATAATTTACACAATACTGAAGTAAAAAGCAAAAAAGAAAGAGAGAGAGAGGTAGAGAGAAATTTAAAAATCAACAGCAAATTCTTTGAGATAATCAGAACAATAGATAAACCTGTAAGCAGAGAGAGAAGACGTAAATTAGAACATCAGCAATGGCAGAGGTTACATCACTACAGATTGTACAGATATTAAAACATAAAGACACATTATGGACAATTTTATATGAGGTAATTTGACAACTTGGATGAAATGGACAAATTCTTTGAAAGACACAGTTGGTCAATGAAAAAGAGACAATAACCTGAATAGAATTTACTGAAGGGACTGAATTTGTAAAAACCTTTCAGTGTATTCCAGTAAACATTTAGGATAAAAATTATATATGAATATACACAAACTTTTGCATAAAATTAAAAAGAAATGACTGGCCTGCCACAGTGGTTCATGCCTGTAATCCCAGCACTTTGCGAGGCTGAGGTGGGTGAATCAGTTGAGGTCAGGAGTTCCATATGATGAAACCCCATCGCTACTAAAAATAAAAAAAAAATAGCCAGGTGTGTTCACATGCACCTGTAATCCCAGCTACACAGGCGGCAGAGGCAGAAGAATTGCTGGAATCCAGGAAGTAGAAGTTGCAGTGAGCTAAGATCACAACCTTGCACTCCAGTCCAGGCAAAAGGAGTAAGATTCTGTCTCAAAGAAAGAAAGAAAACGAATGACTACTTCCCAGCTCACTCAAAGAAGCCACCACTGCTGTGATACTAAAACCAGATAAAATATTACAAGTTAAGAAAAGTACAGATGAACATTTCTCATAAACATAGATTAAAAATTGACAAAATTTTCACAAATGAAATTCAACATTATGATCAAGTAAAGTGTATTCCAATAATGAGCGGTGATGCAAAACAGGAAGAGAAGTGAAATTCCTCACCCTGATAAAGAGCATCTGTGAAAAACCTACAGCTAATTTTATAGTTTATGGTAAAAGACTAAAGGCTTCCCCCTTAAAAGCAGGAGCACAGTGAGGATGTCTACCCTCATCATTTCTATTCAACATTGTACTGGGAAAGAAGAAGGAAAACTGTCTTCCTTCAAAGATGGGATAGTCTCTATGTGAAAATCCTATGGGAAATCCTACTAGAAGTACTGAGTTTAGCCAAGTTTGAAGAGGGTAAGCTCAATATACAAAATTAATTGTATTTCTACATACTAGCAACAAACTGTTGAAAATTAAAATTTTAGCACTACCATTGACCACATCATTTAGAAAAATATAAAACAGGAAAACATCTGAAAAAATAACAGAAAAAACAGAAATGACACTGAAAACCCCCAAAAAACCACCACTGAGAGGAAATAAAAGTAGACTCAAGTAAATGAAGAAGTAGATTCCAGTAAATGAAGTACCTCTGTGTTGCGGGTTAGAAGACTCAGTGTTATTAAAATATCAATTCTCTCCAAGTTGATCTATAGATTCATTGCAATCCTAATCAAAATCCTAGCAGGCTTTATTTATCTTAGAAACGAACACAGTGAATCTAAATTTTATAGAGTAACACAAATGACCTGGAATATCTAAAACAAAGAGAACACCACCAGGTTTTTAGAACTAATCAACCTACTGTAATAAAAAGAGTACGTTATTAGTACAAATATAGACAAATAGATCAATAGAACATAAGACTCCAGAAACAGACACAAACAAGTTGACAACTGATCTTGATAAAGGAGCAGATGCTATTCAGTGGACAATGAATAGTCTTTTCAAAATATCATACTGTAGCAATTAGAGATTGATATGCAAAAAATGAACTTTGATTTCTGCTTTACATCATATACAAAATTAACACACAATCGATCATCGTCTTAAATGTAAAACCTAAAACAATACAAATTCTAGAAGAAAACAAAATAATTCCCTTATGACCTTGGGTTAAGAAAATATTTTTAGCTATGATCCCCAAAGCATGACAAAAAAAAAGCAAATTTACAAATTAATGAACCAAATTTAAGAATTTCTGTTTGTGAAACATACTGCTAATATGCAGAAGAGACAAGTCACAAACTTGGATAAAACATTTGCCAGTTATAGATCTGATAAAGCGGACTTATGTCTGTAATGTATATAGCATATTCAAAACTCAATAGTAAGAAAACAACCCACCAGCCTGGGCAACAGAGTGAGACACTGACTCTACAAAAGAAAAAAAAAAAGAAAGAAAATCTAAGCAAGGTAGCACATACCTGTTGTCCCATCTATTCAGGAGGCTGAGATGGGAGGATCATTTGAGCCTTAAGGAGGTTAAATCTGCAGTGAGCCATGATCATGCCACTGTACTCAAGCCTGGGCCACAGAGTGAGAGCATGTCTCCAAAAATTAAAAAATACAAATAAAAAAATAAAAAATAAAAAGTGGAAAATAAAGAAAACCCAATAAAAAGTGGGCAAAAGATATGAATGGACACTGCAGCAAAGAAGACATATAGATGGCAAATAAATACGTGAGAAGATGCCTGGCATCACTATCTATTAGGAAAATGCAAATCAAGACCACAGTGAGATACTACTACACACTTGTCAGATTGGCTACCTTTTAATTAAAAGGTTGGCCAGACCAAGTATTGTCAAGAATGTAAAATAATTGGAATTCATCTATATTTCTGGTATAAATGGAAAATGGTACAACTACTTTGGAGAGGAGACTGCCATTTTCTTTTGGACCAGGCCATTTCTCAGGTAGGTTTTTACACAAGAGGCCAAAAAAAGCACATGACCACACAAAGATTTGTACACAAATGTCCAGTTTTACATGTACCTGTCAAAGCCTATAAATAACCCAAATGTCTATCAACAGAACAGATAAACAAATTGTAGTATATTCATGCAATGAAATAATACTCAGCAATAAAAAGAAAGGCACTTGTAAAATACACTATTACATAGACGAATCTCAAAATGATTGTAATGGATGAAAGAATCCAGTCAAAATGGAAGTTTCGTGTGTGTGTGTGAGTCTATAAAAATATATATATTTTTTGCTAAAGTTTTTTCCCTACGGTATAAAAACAAAGTAGTTTTCCAATCACCTTTGAGTAGATAAGTGTATTTAACAATAAATGTCAAAGCTAGATACCAGAAAGGGTTTCAGTCACCCACTCCAGACACCAGAACGCTACTTTTTCTAACATATCCTACTGGGTCAGACACGAATGAAAGGCAGACTGCAGCAGGCGACACAGAGCTCAGTAATACGGACAGCATGATTCCAAAGGATTTGAGACATGAACTTCACAAACAGCAGCACTGGAGGTCTCCCTGAAGACCAATGGGTAGCAATATCTGGACAATCACTGCACCCAGGTCAACCCACTAGGGGCCCTGAGAACCAGAACTACTTTTTATAGCTGTGCTTCAGGTAGTCCATGAAGCAGAAAAAGCAGATTACAGAAAGTTGTCACAACAAACAAGGTCAGTCAAAGCAAAGGACTGCTCTTCCTCAAGCATACAACAACAGAAAAGGCTGTGCGTCAAACTTTCTGAACCATTTATCTTTCATAGACTGCTAAAGACTATTGAGTTCAGCATCTCTTAATCCAAAGCGCTATTTTAGGAAAGATAATCTACATAGAAAAAAGCTTGTTCAGGTCACTGTGACTATGCATCCTGGGGCCATCTTGATTCTGAAAAACTGTAATACGGGAGGAGAGAGTTTTTCAGTGACAACCACTCAGGGGAAAGCAATGTCATCACATCACCCTGAAGGGCATGGATGAAGAGATCATAGTGAAGCAGGTTAGAACCTAACAGTCACATTATTGTAAAGTCATCTTCATCTCATATCTAAGTATTTCTTTTCCATTGCTATTTATAATCACTACTTGCTTAGTAATAGAAGCATCAAGAAAGGACAGAGAAAATATTATAATTCTAGCAATAGAAAGCTAGACCCCTCATTTTCTAGATTTGATTTCACATCTCAAAAGTTATCGTTTTCTCCTGCATTTAAATGGCACCTATAATGGCATAATTTAAACTTTAAGTAGATCAGATGACATAGATGGGAACCTGCGAATGTAGCATGCTTACTTTAAAACAAAAATGTGGTTTTTAAAAATCCCCTAGTGAGTAAATAAAATAGAACTTGCTATATAATTTTCAATGCTATATTTTATTTTTATTATCTTTAGCATATGTTGAATGAGAAGTTTTTCATACACCAGTGTCCGCAGCAAATGTTTTTAGAAATCCTCGCTAAGTGGTGGTAGCAGACCAATGCCACCATGCTGTCAACCTCGTCATGTGCCAGGTTAATTCAGTCAGCTTCCCTTATTTACCAATTTCTTGTCTTATTTCCATCTCCTTAAACAATGAAAGTCACAACTCTAAGTTACCTAGGGTAAGAATGGACGATTAGCAGAAAATACATAAGCAATCACCAAATCTAATTTTTATAGTTCTCATGAATAGGAAGCACAAAAATTACTAGAACTGCTATAAAAAATGAAATTGAGTGCTAACCATTTCAGCAGCTATTCTTTTACATATATGAAATGCTATTTTGCTGTTATGCATATTGTATACATAAAATAAATGCTAAAATGATAAATTTAAAAAATTAAGCATACGCAGGCACCGGCTGGGCGCGAAGGCGGCTGGGGCCGAGGCTGCTCCCTCGCTCCCCCCACCCCGCCCCGCCAAGCTCCAACCGCCGCCGCCGCCCGGGCCCCCGCCTCCGGCCCAGGCCCCGGCCCCGGTCCCGAGGGGGCGTCACCGCCGCCGTCGCCGCGGCGCTCCGCGGATCGCAAGGCACCCTCCTTCCCTCCCGCCGGCCGGGGTGCACGGGCGGCGGGGCGGCCCGCGGGAGCGGCGCCCCGAGCCCGGGCCCCGCGCGGCCCGCGTCCCCGGCCCCAGCTGAGCCCCGGGGGCCCCCGCTGCGGCCGACGCCATGTTCCCGGTGTTCCCTTGCACGCTGCTGGCCCGCCCCCTTCCCCGTGCTGGGCTGGACTCCCGGGGGGTGGGCGGCCTCATGAACTCCTTCCAGCCACCTCAGGGTCACGCCCAGAGCCCCCTGCAGGTCGCGGCTGAGCTCCAGTCCCGCTTCTTTGCCTCCCAGGGCTGCGCCCAGAGTCCATTCCAGGTCGTGCCCTAGGCCCCGGCGGCCGAGCCCCTCCAGGTGGATTTGCTCCCCGTGCTCACCGCTGCCCAGGAGTCCGCCGCGGCCGCCGCCGCCGTCTCTGCCGCGCCCCCGGCTCCGGCCGCCGCCTCCACGGTGGACACAGCGGCCCTGAAGCAGCCTCCGGCGCCCCCTCCGCCACCCCCACCCGTGTCGGTGCCTGCGGCCGAGGCCGCGCCCCCGCCTCCGGAGCCACCATCGCCGCGGCGGCGGCCACCGCCATCGTGGCCCCAACCTCGACTGTCGCCGTGGCCCCAGTCGCGTCTGCCTTGGAGAAGAAGACAGAGAGCAAGGGGCCCTACATCTGCGCTCTGTGCTCCAAGGAGTTCAAGAACGGCTACAACCTCCGGAGGCACGAAGCCATCCACACGGGAGCCAAGGCTGGCCGGGTCCCCTGGGGTGCTATGAAGATGCCCACCATGGTGCCCCTGAGCCTCCTGAGCGTGCCCCAGCTGAGCGTGCCCCAGCTGAGCGGAGCCGGCGGGGGAGGGGGAGAAGCGGGTGCCGGCGGCGGCGCGGCTGCAGTGACCGCGGGTGGCGTGGTGACCACGACCGCCTCGGGGAAGCGCATCCGGAAGAACCACGCCTGCGAGATGTGCGGCAAGGCCTTCCGCGACGGCCACCACCTGAACCGACACAGGCTGTCGCACTCGGACGAGAAGCGCTACCAGTGCCTGGTGTGCCAGCAGCGCAGGGACCGCCTGAGCTACCACGTGCGCTCACATGAGGGCGTGGTACACAAGCCCTACGACTGCTCCCACGGTGGCAAGAGCTTCTCCCGGCCGGATCACCTCAACAGTCACAACAGAACGGCCCTTCAAATGTGAGAAACGTGAGGCAGGTTTCGCCACGAAGGATCAGCTGCGGGCGCACACGGTACGACCCGAGGAGAAGGTGCCATGTCACGTGTGTGGCAAGATGCTGAGCTCGGCTTATATTTCGGACCACATGAAGGTGCACAGCCAGGGCCCTCACCATGTCTGTGAGCTCTGCAACAAAGGTACTGGTGAGGTTTGTCCAATGGCGGCCGCAGCTGTGGGCTCCCTCTCGGGGGCAGAGGGGGTGCCTGTGAGCTCTCAGCCACTTCCCTCCCAGCCCTGGTGAGCTCCAATTTGGTTGGGGGGGAGAGGGGAGAATGGAGTAGAGTCCTTTGGTACAGGCTCCTCTCCCCCCTCTTTTCCCACCAACTCCTCACTACTTCCCCACCAACCAAGGAGCCTCCGGAAGGAAAGGAGGAAGCAATGTTTTAGGGGAATTCGCTAGGTTTTAACGATTTGTTTCTCCTGCTCCTCTCTTCTGTCAGACCTGACCCCAGACAAACCTGTCCCCTCAGTTGTGCTGAAGTCCCCTGGACAGTGGGCAGGGGTGGCAGAGGACAGGAGCAACCACTGCCCATACCCCCTCTCCTCTCTGTAAGCCCGTGCCCTGTCCTCCCAGGGACTTGGGAGCCTCTTCCCTCAATGGCTCTCTTACTTTCCTTCCAATCCTCTCCCCGCGCTGTCTGCTGCCCCTCCCTGGGGAGTTGGTGCTTTCTTTTCCTTTTTCTTTTTTCCAGGAGGAGGGAGGAGAGGAAAGAGGGAGATCAGAGCTTCTGTCCCAGAGAGGGAAAGCGGTGAGATTTGCGGAGGGGCAGAAGCAGGGCCCGCAAAGGTTGTACCTTCATAAGGTGGTAGGGAGTTTGGGTCAGGCCCTGAACATCGTCCTACTTGAGAATCTGTCAGGGGAAAAAGTTCAGGGGAGCAGAAGGAGGAGCCAGGAGGGCAAGAGGCAGAGGATAGATGGGAGTTTTAGGGGCCAGGGTGAGCGAGGGGTCCAGGGCCTAGAGGTGCTTCCTGGGGGTGGGGGAATGCAGCCAGTGTCCCCCTCCCTTCTTCCACCCCAGCTCCAGCCCTGGTCTTGTCTTTTCATCCCTCTTCCCCACGACAGAAGAAACTGTGGCCCTGGCCATGTCATCGTGTTCTTGTGTCCCCTGCATGTACCCCACCCTCCATCCCCTCGTTTTGCATGGACCCCATTACAATAAATTTTAAATTAAAAAAATTATACATATATGAATAAAATTTTTTTAAAAAATATATGCTCATATTCACATATATACTTAATTTTTTGAAGAATATTAAATGTAAGAAATATAAAACAAAGAGTACAATAGGGACATGAATAACACACAATCTGCAAAAATTAACTTTTGGATTAATCAACTAAATTTAGACTTGAGTAAAATAACACAAACACAATTTACTTTTCCTCTGTCAATTTAAAAAATAATATTGTTACTTTCACTTAAACAAAATAATATACATCAACAAAGGAAAATACTAAATGGAACTATGTCAGGTTCTGTAGGAAATTAGAAATATAAAGCCTATAATACAGTCGACAGGGTTGAATTTCTCTTTAAAAATATTTATTATATTTTTGTGTTTTTATAGAATTAGAGAATACAGCTGGGCGCTGTGGCTCATGCCTGTAATCCCAGCACTTTGGGAGGCCAAGGCGGGCAGATCACGAGGTCAACAGATAGAGACCATCCTGGCCAACATGGTGAAACTCCATCTCTACTAAAATTACAGCTTACATCCTTAACAAAAATTAACTAAAAATGTACCATGAACTTCAAAATAAAATGCAAAACTATAAAACACGGAGAGGATAACAAATGAGATCATCTAGATGATCTTGGATTTGTGACTTTTTAGACTAACAAAAAGGCACAGCCCATAAAGGAAATGATAAGTAGGGCTCCACTAAGATTAAAGACTTCTGCTCTGCAAAAGACACTCCAGAGAATGAAAAGCCAAGACACAATCAGAGACAAAATATTCACAAAATATATATCTGATAAAGGACTAGTATCCCAAGATACACAAACAACACATAAATAAGGAACCCATTTTAAAATGGTCAAAAGATCTAAAGAGACATCTCACCAAAAAAGATATACAGCAGGCAAGTAAGCATATTAAAAGATGCTCATCATCATATGTCATTATAGAATTGAGAAATAAAACACAATGAGATAGTACTGCCCACCTATTTGATGACTAAAATTCAGAGCACTGATATTAGCCAATGTTAGTGAGAATGTGGTGAAAATGGAACTCTCATTCATTGCTGGTGGGAATGCAAAACAGTACAGCCAGTTTGGAAAATAGTTTGGCAGTTTCTTAAAAAAACTAAACAGATTTACTATGAACTCCAGCAATCATACTTTATTCATATCTGGACAGTACCTGGAAATAAGATGTCCATTAATCTATCAGTAGGAAAATGAACAAACTCTGGTTTATCCTTACAATGGAATATTATGCAGCAATAAAAAGAGTTACTGAGTCACAAAGAGATATGAAGGAAATTTAAATGCATATTGCTAAGTGAAAACCTGTCTGTAAAGGCTATATACTTTCTGACTCTAACTAAAACATATTTGGAAAAGGCGAAAATATATTTAGAAGCAGTGAAAGACTGTGGTTGCCACAGGTTCAGGGAAAGGAGGGAGAGATGTATATGCAGACGGCAGGGAATTTTTAGGGCAGTGATGCTCTTCTGTATGATGTTATAATGGTGAATACATGCCATTATGCATTTGCCAAAACCTATAGAATGTACAACACAAAGAATGAAGCATAATGAAAGCTATGGACTTTAGTTAATAATAACGTATGAGCCGGGGGCAGGGGCTCACACCTATAATCACAACACTTTGGGAGTCCAAAGTGGGCAGATTACCAGGTCAGGTATTCAAAACCAGCCTGGCCAACATGGTGAAACCCTGTCTTTACTAAAAATAGAAAAATTAGCCAGGTGTGGTGGTGTGTGCCTGTAATCCCAGCTACTCAGGAGGCTGAGGCAGGAGAATCACTTGAATCTGGGAAGCGGGGTTGCAATGAGCCGAGATCTCGCCACTGTACTCTAGCCTGAGT